TGTTTGTAGGGAAAAACTATACAACCTCCAAATTATGATAAGGAACGGGCCTACTTTCATGAGGTTGATTCCTTCAAATTGATGGAGGAAAGCCCCTCACCCAAGAAGTCTGGTACATGGACCATGGGCATCCATAGTGATATTGTTGTTATACCATATATGTCCTCAATATTACGGAGATGGTTAATATCTAAGAAGCTAAATCATAGCGGAATACCTTCTGCTTCACTATCGAAGATATTAGAAACTCCAGCAATGACCAAGGAATCATGTTGTGGTGATGGTTTTGCATCTTCAAATTTGGAAACCCCAGAAGAAATGTCCCTGCAAATTCATTCAGGCTTACAGGCCATCCAGAACGGATTTAATTCAAGTTACATCAGTAAAAATGTTCCTGAAAGGCATGTCTCATCACGGAAGAGCAATGATGAATTCCTGACTATGAATGAAGAGGGTTGTGAAGATATTGAAGTTGCAGTTCGTGGACTCTCTCTGACTTCAAGGCCTGCTTCACTGGCTGGTCAGAACTGGGATTCCTTGTTGGCCCTATTAACTGTTTGTCGACAGTCATCTCCTTCAACACTCTTGGATGTACTCTCCAAGTATTGGTTTGTGTTCTGTTCTTTCCAACCAGTGGCATTCTTTTTGAAATAAAATAGATTCCCAATCCTTCCATAAAATCGTACACATTTTCTCTTCCATACTGCTGTGCGATATGATTTTTCTGTCATGGTAATTTTGTGATATGGTTCCTTGTAGATATTGCAATTTAATTTGGAGTAGAATTATATGGTAGCTTGTTTCCTAATGTTCTCATTCTAAGATTCCCTTTGAATGTAAATAGCGCCAAGTATAATTATCACGAGGGAATATTTTGTTTGACTGTGAAGTAATACTAAACTCTTCATACCAATGTTATCTATGGAAACTCAGAAAAATAGAATTTTTTTAGTAATTTTGTTTCTTGGTTTACCAACTTTGCTTTCAGAGAATTGTTTGACTGGTTTAGCTTAACTGAATTTATCCCTTTGAAGCATTCCTGAATTCAGAAAAATTCACTTATTTATTTGATTAGAAATACGTAAAAGAAAATAAATTCAGTGAGTCGGTGGTTTGTATTTTTTTGTTTTCCGACATGCAAAGAGAAGATAGATGTCAACTACTTTTATAGAAACAACAAATAAAAGCGAGAAGCATTACCATTTTTACTGCTCACAGGAAATCATGAATTCTGCCATAGCTGCAATACTTATTTTCTGGTTACTGTTTGAATTTTCTTTAACTTGTCATTGCACTGTTACCACATAATTACATCTGGCTGCATTTCTCATATCATTTTTACTTGGCACAAGTTCTTTTATGCATGTGGACCTTTGCTTCTTAATTTAGTGATAACATGAAGTTTCCTTATAACAGTGGCCATGAAAGTATCAGCAAGGTTGGTGAAGGTACATATGGAGAAGCTTTTAAGGTCAGGGAAGCTGTTTGCAAAATTGTTCCATTTGGTGGAGATTTAAGAGTGAACGGGGAAGTACCAAAGGTACTTGTTTTCATTGTTGTCTCTAGGCAAGTGATACAATTTGTAACTAAAGGAAGGAATAAGGCAGAATGCTCTTGGTCAATTGTTCAGTTCAGATAGCCTAAGGTTTAGCCAACTGAGAGGCTGGCATCCATTAGAGTTTTGACAGCCTGCAAAAGGGTTAACTTTTTTTTATTCTAGAAGTTTTCCTCGTAAATTGTCCAATATTTAATCTATGTTCTTTTAATATTCTCCAGCGGTCAGATGAATTGTTTGATGAGGTTGTACTTTCCTGGACTCTTAATCGTTTAAGAGGAGATGAGGGTCATGCTCACAACATCTGTTTCACTTTTATAGAGACAGTCGAGTAAGTTTAATGCATATCTCTTTCCTATTATAATTGGCAAGTAAATTTGGACAGTTTGGGAATTATAGAACCAGCCACCCTGCTGCAGATTTGTATTTGTTGGCCAGAAAGGCAGGAAAAGACGTGTTCAGTAGGATTGAGGGTAAAACCAAGCATGGACCAATATGTTGTGTTGTGATTCCCATTCAGCTGACCGAGTTTCCGTGTTTCACAAACATATCTTTTAACAAATTATTAGGTTCGTGGCTAATACTTTGATTGATATCACGAGAGGATTTACCTAATCATCTGCAAATCATATCTCTAGAATTTCATCATTTTCTCCTTGACTAATAGCTCTGATAATTGTTCCATTATTCGTGCAATGTTATCAATTATGTATGCCAACAAGGCCGGTTAAGGCAATACAATGAGTTGATTGGGCGTATTCAGTAAGAGGTGCTGCATGTAGTGGGCAAATGAGATGAGACAAAAGGTACCATCATGTAGCTAGATGCTTATAGTTTACTTTACCTACTTAGATTACAGTAGGGGTGTATAAATTAGCAGCATAAAGAGCCAAGAATGTGAAGCCTGACTAATTTCTTAAATTAGATTGATCAGCAATAATGAAGGTGAAACTGAAGAGGACACTTTTTAAAGTTTAGTACAGGTGGGGAATAGTAAATGGTTAAAAATTTATATGTTATTGAAGTTAATTTGTGGGCAGAATTTTAAGAATTAACGAGGCTTTGGTATGGATGTTGTGAGAACTAGAGCATAACAGAGGAAAATGAAGGTGACGAAGGTTTAGTTCCAATGATGTGGAGACATAGTTTATGGGTAAAAACTTGATATTGGTCCTGGTGCTGCAGAGGTGGGTGTTGCTGATCGAACTATAATCCACGGTTTGAGCCAGAAGAATTTGATAATATTTAAGTTCTTAAAGATTGTACATTTATATCAAATAAGGTTTAAGTATAAACTAAGACTTATTTTAAAAAATTTCAAATACTCATTATTGCGATTGGAGGGAGCATGGCATACGCTATAGTGTCAGATTCTGTGATAATGAAAGCCTTAAAGCACGAGATAACTATTTAAGAAGTTGTGAGAGGATTCACTTAGAGGGCCAGGTGGCATGTGGTTTGGTTTGCCTTCTAAGATGGACCCTGCCAGTACAATAATTTATTTGATTCGAGAAAAGTTCAGTTTTTTGGGCTTATTCATGTATCACCATCAGTTTGGGCTTATTCACATGCTACAATACAATCAAGTGTTTGAAAAGTGTGTGGTGAGCTTTCTAGTGGAAAGGCAGATGTGAAACTGACTTACAACTTGCTTTGCTCTGGAGGGAGTTTCCTGAGTCAAACCAACTTGGTCACTGTATCGTCTGAATGGAATGTATAGAAAAGTGGTTGTTCACTCACTAAAAGAACTCAAACTTGAATAGAGGGCCAAGCCCTTTAAAGCAGGCTAGATGGGTCAAATAGGTGTTTTCTGGGGTACCATATTAGTCCTTGCATTTCAATTCAAATAAATAGTTGTAGACCAATACTAAAGATAAGAAATAGATAATCAACAATAAAAGAAACGAAAAAAGTTTCATAGGGAAAAATGCTGGAGAAAAATGATATAAAATATTACCAATTTTGACCGCATATGGGGATTACTGCATATTACCATGTGTTGAGGAAAAATAAGAGTGTATGAAGTTCGAGTTGGCTCTTTGGCCTTGTGTTTTGATCAAAGCTATCAAGTTTGAGAGTCTATGGACACTGCATACAAAAGCTCTCTCTCACCAATGTCGTCTTGTGATCTATGCTAGAAATTAGATTTGGTTGGTTTCATCTGGTTCACCCTTAAAAGCTACCCAGGAAAACTTTGCACCTTATTTGCTAGTTGAGTAGACATTATTTCATGAGATCAGTTTATTAACTCAATGTTTGTTACCAACACCCTAGATGATGGTAATAAAAGAGTTTAAAAGCTGTTAAATACATATTTTATTAATTGAGGAAGTGTTGAGCATAATGTTAATTCAATTTGGAGGTTGTCTTATCACGAAGGTGAAGCAAGTCGAATCCAAACTTCTACTTCTGGTCAGGCTGGTCTGTCAATATCACAAATAGACGACTATAGTTGCAAGAGGCTCAAATTTTACCTGTTGAGCTTCTGTTAAGTTTTCATTTAAGGTGATACCTCAGTGGTGTTTTCCTTCAGCCTCAATTTAGGCACTTTGAAAGTCCAAATCAATCTATATGTTGTTGACTTGTAATAGTTTGTTTCTTCATTTCACAGCATAAAGGTATGCCAAGGCCCTTATGATGCTGCCTTGACAAGAGCGTGGGAAGAATGGGATGGGAAGCATGGTTCAGAAAATGATCATCCCAATCAGTTCCCAGAGAAGCAGGTTAGTTATAATGACAACCTTTTAGATAGTTACTTCTCCCCATCAAACAAACGAAAGGTATTCTTCAATTGACATCATTTAAAACTACTTAATATTCATTAACCATTGGAAACTTCAAGTACCTGTTCCTAAGTGCTAATTGTATGCTTATATGATTTGTTTTCCGTATTGAACTGACGAAATTGCATTCAGTGCTATGTTGTGTTTGTGCAAGAACATGGTGGTCAGGATCTTGAAAGTTTCGTGCTATTGAACTTCGATGAAGCACGGAGTTTGTTGGTTCAGGCAAGTAAGCATCCTTTTCCAGTTTCAGCTGTTTGTACGTCCCATTTTCTGTAATGTGACTTTTCATCCTTCATTCATTTCAGGTCACTCTTGCTTTGGCGGTAGCAGAGGCTGCATATGAATTTGAGCACCGAGATTTGCACTGGTCTAGTCATAATGCAATCCATAATTGTATTATGTATCCTTTTGCTTGTTAATTCAGGATTATGTATTGCTGGTTACAGGGGCAACATCCTGTTAAGTCGGAAAGCTTCTGCAACATTGCAATTCACTCTTGAGGGAAGGCAAATTTTCGTTAGGACATTTGGATTGCTGATATCAATAATTGATTTCACTCTTTCAAGGATCAATACTGGTTAAAACTTGCTCACTTTTAACTTTCTTAGGGTCCAACTTCTTACTGGTTTAACATGTTGACTATAATGCCTTGTCCACAGGTGAAGATATTCTATTTTTGGACCTATCTCTCGACCCAGAACTGTTTGAGGGTCCAAAAGGAGATAAACAAGTAAGACAAAATAGAAGTTGTAGATATACTAGTGCTTTTGTTTCAGTTTTTCATTTAAGTGACCTCTAATATTCCATGCAGTCAGATACCTATCGGAAAATGAAAGAGGTGACTGAAGAATGCTGGGAGGGAAGGTACGAAAGTTGATATATCCATCTATTAATCATCGAATCTATTAGGATAAAACCATGGTGGCATAATGGCATCGGAAATTTCTGGTTTACTTTAGAGAGTAGATATTGATGATGTAATAAAAAAATGTTTTTTTGGAGTGAAGTATAATTGGATCTTCCGGTCACGATTATACGCATGGAACTACACTCGTACGACCTGGGGTGAGTGGTGAATAAGTTTATGACACTTAGGGGTGCAACTCGGGTGGGTTAGAAAGTCAACCCTAGGTATATAGTTTTTAACCCTAACCTTACCTCGGGTTGAGGGACTCAACCTGAGCACTGGCCGAGTTTAATTTGGGCGGGCTCGGGTTAAGTTCGGGTTAATGATTTTGGGCTACTTTACGGGTTGAATTCGGGTTGAGCCCAAAATAGACTTATTGTTATAAACTTGATACATATATTGCATAATATTCACCTAAATTAACAACCAATAACTTCAATCAAGTTTTTAACATAAAAACCATAATATTAAGAACTCAATATTTGATATAATGCAACCACAACTATAAAGAACACAAATAAATACAACCAAAATTCTTGTACAAACCGAGTTTACTACTTAAATAGTGAGGGAGGCGCACAATGAAAACTTCAGAACAGATTAATCCTTGACTTAAAAATGTATTTATATGGTTATGAATATTTGGGTTGAACCCGAATATTAAATTGGGTTAAACCTGATTTTAATATTCGGGTTCAATTCGATAACTCGAGGGGTCAACCCGAGACCCGCTCAAATTGAATTCGGTTGGGGTTTTTTGATCCTAGCCCAAACCCTAATTTTTTTGGGTTGGGCTTGGGTTGAAATTGGGTTAGCCCGCCCAAGTTACACCCCTAATGACAGTTCCCAATTGAACAAACACTAATTTGAAAACCAACTAACCACAAGTCCACAATTACTAAATTAATTATTCAATTAAGCTTATTGAACCCTTTCCAGTTAGAACAAATCTGTTAAGCATGAAGGGATGCAAGATGTGTCAACTAATAGTCTCAACAACAATCCAATCCTCCAACCTTATTCCTCCAAACAAGCCAACAACCATGACAACCAAGTTGATGAAGAGATTGAATATAACAATCAATGAGTCAATTCATCAAACACATCGTGAATGTGTGTTATTGCATGTGTGTGTGTGTGTGCTTGCTAATATAAATCAACAATTCACAGAATTGGCAATTTAACGTGGAAACCTTTTTGGAAAAAATCACAGAAGTGATCTTGATTCACATTACCTAATCTAGTATTCTCAAAATTGATTATAAGGATATAATTCTTGCACCTCAACCAATACACCCATGGTTAGATGCTTTCGTCTTTTAATCTATCTCTCTGGATTCACCCACTGTGAGATACTGAGAACTAGCTTGACTTGAACTCGATCAGCACAACAATCCGTCTAGGTCTCGAGCATTTTTTAAGAAACTAATGTGGGTTTGGTTGTTCTCCACTAGATCTTTTTTTCTTCAATGTGTGAAGTTAAATGGAGCAATCAAATAGAATTGGCCTTTTAGATCTTAGGGATCTAGGGTTTATTCCTGGTTTTCTAAAGATGTAAAAGGCAAATTTGATGCTTTATGAGAAATTTCCTAGGTTAGAGAGACTTCCCTATTTGTAGACCCGGAATTAGAGTAGTCTTGGAGCCCAAGAAAATTAAAATTTGTGAGAAATCACTCGAGCCATTAGAGAGCAGCCAGAGAGTGGACATCTCTGAAACGAAGAAACGAATCAAACCAATCGAGTTGAGCTGGGACTGCGTGAGTCATCGCCAGACAGCTCAAGCCGTCTCTGCTGCCAACTTCTTCAACCTTCTCCGATTTTTCCATAAGTGTTCCAAGACCACTCTAGTAGAAGGTAAGCGAGAAGAGGGCAGTCCCTACTGGTTTTTAAGCCATAAACCAAGCACAAACTTGTCTGTTTGAGCACTAAGGAGTGCTGCTCAATAAGGATCCTATACATGGTTCAATCTATGTTTTCAAAACAAGTTTAAATGTGTCAAATATTTTAATGAAATGTCTATGAGTCATTAACGGATTATCCTAAATCTATTTCAATTTTAACCTACTGAGCTAAAGTAAAAATACCAGGTTTCTAAGGTCTTGAATGTTATTACCTTTCCTAAGCCTTGAAGAATCAAGGGAGATTTTCATGATGTAGTTTGACGCTGAACTCCTTTCTTTGTATAGGTTTCGGATCCTGAACTTGAAACATCATGATTATGGACTGATGTTGAGATTTACAATGTGACTTCACAGAATTAGCCAATTACAAATGGGCAATTTCTAACATCACCATGCACCCAAACTTTTGTGGTATATTGATAACATTTGTGATCCTATCAAGGACTATGTTTTGGGTTCTATTAATCTTTTGAAATATTCACATCTATGTTGACTGTTGAGTGCTTACCGAGTGGTACCGTCCCTTTATAGATTTATATCCTTGGCTACCACTTAGAAGAATTTCTGGGCAAGTGAGGTGGATTTAGGCTTTTACATAGGGTAGTAACTGGATAAATTTATCATCCCAATTAAGAAATAGTGGCATAATGCTATTTGTTTCTTAAGAAAGGGGTTTCCATAATTTAAAGTATGGATAATACATCCAGAATTAATCCAATATTGAATCCATGCTTGCGAGGCTTGGGTAAACAGTAACTCTACAAATAGATGTAGCTGCTTCTTTGAAATAGTTTTTAGTTTAGTAACTAAACTCGACTTCTCAACTTGGTCTTTAAACATAGAACGCCAAAATTGTTGGTTAAATTTTTATATCTGACACAAGTAAACAATAATCCTTGAATACATAAAAAGGTGGTGTCACTCTTCAGATTGTGGCTGAAACTGGTAACTTGATCTCCATTCTCTTCCTTCCCATATATCTTTGCAAATTGCTCCCCCACTTAAATTTCTTTCCCCCTCCTTTCCTTAAGTTGTGATCACATGCATTGCCTGTGCTATGTTTATACTCTGAATATTCTGCTAGGATGAGTAATGTGATGAAGATTTTAGTTTTACTGAAAAGAAAATTTTGTCCTCGATTTGCTCTGTGTATCGATTGCTGCAATTGCAATGCACAATCCACACAGACTTCTAAAGGTAATCGCCTTTATGTGACTTCTTTGTATTTCCTTAATAGGGGTTGGTCCTCAGGGCTTCTGTATATTTCCAAAATCAAAATTGTATGTGGGAACAAGAAGATCTATGTTCCTTGTTATCTTTCCTTGCCATCTTGTTTTCTGTTATAGTTTATTTTTATGGTTGCTGAATTCTGTTTCTTCTAATCGTCATACAGTTTCCCCAAGACGAACGTGTTATGGTTGCAATATTTGGTTGACATTTTGCTCTTGAAGAAATCATATGTAAGTCCTTTTATTTACAAGTTATTCAACGAAGTGGACCTGTTATGAATATCTATTCTCTAAAATATCACAATGAATTCAAGCATGTAGTGGTTCTTATCAATTATAGTTGGCCCTAAACTGTCAAACCTGGTAATTCGTTCGTATTATGGCAGTTCTACCCCTCAAATTCTGTTGCTTGTACTCCAACTTTTGTCCAGTACTAGGTTTTCACACTGGACTTCAAACAGCTGCTGCTCAACGTCATTACTTTATAATTGCGAGCTTGAAGTACATTCTTATTTGTTGGAAGCCAAAAAAATAAACTATGGATAGACTTTGGATTGTTATGTTATGTCTATGCTATTAATAAAGGGGGAAGGTGGTTTTGGTGTCCACCCAAGAAAAGTCAGTAATACCCTTCATTTTTTGTTACTTTCTTTTTAACTATATTAGCAATTGGAATTAACCACCCATAACCACCTAAAATTATACATTCTAATCCCTTTCTACTCTTTCTCCTTTTCCTATCTGCATGCGGTATTGTGTCTGCACAACCCCTAGTTCTGAATCAATTGGACAAATATTGTTACCTGATAATGCTGACCATTTTCTTGACTTATTTTGTTTGCCTGTTATTTCTATTGAAACCATGAAACATTTAGGACTTGATTTGTATGCAATATTTTTGGCAGGATCGAACTTCCAAAGATGAGAGAGAATTGCGTTCTCTTAAAAAGCAACTAAACAATTATGGTTCAGCTAAAGAAGCAGTGTCGGATCCTTTCTTCATCGATTTGTTTGTTGATCATGTCAATTGAAGGGAAATTTGACGAATGATATTTAGAAATTTACGAAATTTATTTCAGTGCATCTAACTTTGGCACCTCCTTTGAAGGCTTCCATATTTAGAAACCAACTTAGTTTCTATTTTGTACAATATCTATGGAGGTGTAGCATATAATTTATTGTAAAAATTGTAATTTTGTAAAAATGAATTTTTGTGAGGAGACAAACAAAAGTATGAATTTATTTGCTAAAAAAAGTGTATTTAATTATAATGATCTAGATATATTTACTATTCATATGGATTGTACTATTGAATAGTTGCACACCTTGTTCCAAAAAAAAAAACATTGTTGCACACATAGATGAAATAGGTATGAAGTAGAACATATGTAATGTTTAATATATTTCAAATGCCTGAATTACCAACAAAAAAAAAATATTATGCGGCACTATTTTGTAATATTGAATATCTTTATTATGACATCATCTTGTGATGGTCCACATAAAATTTTTGACAAATTGAAACAAAATGAATAAAATATAAATTAACATATATATTATCTTTACTTTTTATGTGTCATTTAATAATCAATTTTGTCTCACTAAATCGATTTCATGGAAGAAGACTCGATAATAAAAGTAGTGCAAAAATTATGATTTGTGAGGTATGTAAATTCTTTGATTCTTTGAACGAGAAAAGAAACAGTGGGGTTGACCCTAGTGACTAGACTATTAAAATAGTCGTCTAGAGCAACAAAAATTTTGGGTGCTAATTTAATTTTCAGCTCTTACTTTAGTTCATGTTCTAAGACCTTTTTGAATGGACAAGTTAAAGACTTAATATATTTCATAAATTTATGTAAAATCTTATAGAAAACCCTATAATAAAACAATATTTTTCACAAGTTTATGGAGAACTTTATAAAAAATAAAATATAACAACTTTTTAAAAAAGCCTAAATTCCTTTCACTCTCTTTTTCTCCATTCTCACTGTATCAAGTCTTTCTCTTCCTTGTTCTCTCGTTGTCTTGTTTTGAGTCTTTATAATTATTAATTGATGTACACGTACGTTACACGTGAATTATTTTTAAAATCAAATATCATCAACTTTTTTTTTTAATCATAAAACATCACCAACTTACTATAATATTTTTAATCTACCAACATAAAAAACCTAGTTCACATACTTTGAATCATGATTATTTCAATGAAATGGTAAATACTATTGTTTTTGTTTTAAGCCAATTTAAATTTCAATAAGACACTCCACCCTAGAAAAGAAAAAAAACCAAATTTATAATCTTTACTTCATGATCCTCTTAGGACCACATCCAATTTTTTGGACTTCGGTAAGTAATAATTTCTAACAACTCGACATTCTCATTACTAACAATGCTACATCCAACAAAATTTCAATTTGGTGAAAGTTCTAGTGAACACATCATTTCCTTTAATTGCACACGCTCATGATGCATAATTGAATTTAGCGATAACACAATTAACAAAAAATACATTCATTCCGCTTTAGTTGTGCACCATGCCTTTTTCATTATTTGTACAAATTTACCTTTTTTCATAGTGTGACTTTGATTTTTAGTTCATAAAAAAAAAGTGCGATTTTACTTGATAGTAATTTATTATCATGATCAAGATTTATTGATGCATTGGTCCTTTTTCAATTTCAAAAGTAAGGAACATTTGGTGTTTCTACTCATTATTGTCACTTGATGGTTATGTTTTGTGGTAGAGCTAATAATGTTAGTATTGCAACAACTTTTGCCTCTATTAAAAAAGTGCCCCGATATTAAGATGATTAATATGTTCATTATATCAATCACTAATATAATTATCTTCTTCGAAAGCTAAGATTGGTTGTTGATAATGATATGAAAGTTTTTATTTTTTTTATTTTAGTAGTGTAATAATTTTTAGTTGATAAATAGCTTAGAACAAGTCAAATGACCTTGACAATGCTTCTCTTTGAAATATTCAAGCTATTTCTTCTTGCTTTTAGCCATAATTTATTACTAAGATCTAAATTTTTTTTCCCTTTTCTCCAAAAAGCTTGACCTATGTTTGTCATTTGAATATCTTTTCAACCACGTTTTTAGGCCACTAAATGTCACTGGAACAACATGAAATCCTGCAGAGATAGCTGCTTGAAGTACTGTCTTTCCCATTTTGCCAGTGCAACCATTTTCCAGTAAGAGATTATAGAAATCAGAAGAGCACATGCTGCATCAACAGAACTAAGTTATGTAATATCTAGTCTACTTGAAAAATACATTACAATCTATCATTTGTTTGAAAATTTGATTTATGTTGAAAACACCCCATAAAATTGCGAGAAAAATGAGGTGACTAACCTCATTTAGTGGATGCAATAAGTACCCTTTAAAGATGCAATGAAATTTCAGAAATTTTATTCAACATTCATGTTTTATTCATCAAAAACTTCATTCCTTTCTTTTTTGATTGTAAACCATGTAAATGACAATGATATTAAGGCAAGCCAAAAGCGAAGGCAGCTCTCTAAGTCCCCACCAATACTAGGGTGCGAAAGCATGAAGAACAAACATGATTAGATTGGAGGCACAACAATGCTAGCACAGATTTCAGACTAAACTTGAACCTTTAGACAGCTACCATATAAGCATGAATAGGTGAACCCTGAGAAATATAACATCTGTTATATGTGTGGTTTTCTATGAAGGTTTTAATGGGTAAGAGCACCACACAACCTCAAACGAAGTCACCCAGTGAGGCTTCATCTTGCTTCAAAATCAAGAGAAACTAGGCCTCAACTAGGGATGGCAATAGACAGCCCCGCGCCGGGGGGCGTAGACTCTACCCGTACATGCTTCAAAAATATTCGTCAACCTTCAATTAATTTTAATCACCATCCTTGTCCCGTAGGTAAATTTTGATCCACGTTCCCACCACCATCCTCACTCATAACAAATAATTTCTATGATTTAAAAAAAAAATTAAAAAATCATAAAACCTCACAAATGGATTTATAAGAAGAATGAAAGCTCATTGTAACAAATGGATTAAACATAAAAATTTACAACACTTAATTATTTTATTTGTTATATATACAAATAAATAAATATAAATTATAAATATATATCACGGGTTTAGCGGGGTCAAAGGCGGGGAGAATAAGTTTCAGGCCATCCTCGCACGAGTATATACGGGTATCCCTATATACGTTTACTGTTTAATATGCATAGTCCACTTCTTGTCTAAACTGAATGGATTTAGACGAATACCCATTTTGTTTTGTTCACTGCCATCTTACCCACCACCAATTTTGGCCTCTGAAATATCATTTGACCACCATGACCACCATGCAGATCACCCACCACTGTCTTTACCGGTCACCATAAACCTCCCAAATCCAAAAGGCTAAAACTAAGTAGAATTTTTTCTGATTTAGATACCTTCAATTCACCCCTTCTCCCTCTGATCACTCTATCAAGAACCCTCCAAGAACCCAAGATTCAATAACACACCACCACCACAGCACTCTCTCTGCCGTAACTATGGAGACTTGAACCTAAGTATTGAACGAAGATATCCGGGTTTTTACTCATTAGATCAACAATTCGTTGGACTTAACTCTGTTTCAAGTGAACAGAATCACTCTAGCTTGGTTTGGGAGGTGGTTATTTGAGGCTGAAGGGTTGTGGGTAGGGGGAGGGGGGCTAATTGTGGAAAGAGTTTTGGGGGGTCATGGGGATTGTTTGGCAACAAGTTTAAGAATATTTGACAACATGTTTTTTTATTACTATTTTTGCAAACTGGACATGTTTGGAACTGCCAAGGGCCAAGCCTTTCATTTCATGCTCCGATTTTCTCTCCAGTTCTCAAGAATGACTAATGAATCATCAATGAAATGCTTCCATTCATATTTATTTGGGTAAATAGATTTTCTCTCCAGTTCTCGATAGGCTTCGGTTTGTCTATCTTTGTTGCAATATTCTAGGGCTAATATTAATTTGTACTCCGAAAGATCACTCGAATCTCAATTTATACCTTTAAGATTTAAAAATATTAATTTACACACCGAAAGATATAAATACGTATTAATATACATATGAGACTAACTGTCATCTATTTTACCATTAAAAAGTTTGGATTAATTATAAATTACACCCCTCAAAGTTTAAATATTTCACATTTATGTTCCAAAAAAAATTAATTTCATTAATGTTCGTTAAATAGC